CACCTTGATGAGCTCCACGGATTCCTTCATGAGTTTCCCTCATGACTTTCATGTATTCTTTCTTTCCGAGGCACCTTAAAAGCACTTCATCCTTACTTTTTCGAACCAAATCTTCATTCCACATAAGATAGTTCAAAGCCATGATTTTGATTCTTTTTTCAAAAGGTAGGGTTGGGTACTGCAAATAGGTTATGATAGGCTTTCTCCAATCATCTTCAATGATTATGGCAGGATTGACATCTATCTCCATCCCCTGGTCAAGACTGATGGCAGGCTTTTTTTTCCCACCTTGATGATCCTCTGTACACAGTCTTCAGGTATTTGTATACCTGTTTACTTGGGCCAGTTCATTGGCTGCACAGTTTTCCTCCTTTGGGATGTGTTCCCAAGTAGCTTCTCTAAATTATGTCAGAAGATTTCTAGCTGCCACTAGATATACAGCTAGAGAAGGACTAAGACACTTGTATTCCCCAGCAATCTGTTTTTAATACAAGCATTGAATCTCCCAGGATTTCTACAGATTGGATTCCTAGTTCCACCAGCATTTCTAATCCTATGATTAGAGCTTCATATTCTGCCCTATTGTTGGTGCACTGGAAATCTAACTGGAAAGAATAACAGTGTCTGATTCCAAGTGGTTCTTCCAAAACAATCCCTGCCCCAGAAGCTATATCAGTTTTTGATCCATCAAAATACAGCTTCCAAGGTGTTAGATGAACTGAATAGATAGGATTGTTAAAGCAAGTGTGAGCTCTAGTTAACAGATCTACATTTGCTATGTCCAAAGAGTCCATGTTCTCAATCTCCTCTCCAGGATGATCTGCTAGGAAATATGCCACAGCTTGTCCCTTGACAGCTTTCTGAGGAACATACCTGAAGTCAAACTCTGTCAAGGCCAAGGTCCATTTTCCAATTCTGCCTCTTAACATTGGCCTGGTTAGCATGTATTTGATCAGAACTATCTTTGCAATGATGTAGATGGTGTATGGCAGCATGTAGTGTCTGAGTTTCACAGCAGTGAAGTACAAGGCTAGGCAAAGTCTTTCAATTGCAGAATATTTTCTTTCCACCTCTGTCAGAGTTCTGCTCAGGTAGTAGACTGCCTGTTCCTTCCCTTCCTCGTTAAGTTGACCATGTTGACTTGTGGTTGGGAAAAAGGATCTGTTGTGTCTGAAGGAGATTTCTCTGCCAGTTTCAACCTTCATGCTGTTATTCCTTCCTGTATAACATCTCTGAAAACTACACAACTATTGGTAGAATGGTTCCAAGAGTTGTGCCACCTGCGATACTACCTGCCCTTGAGCTCTTCTGGCTTGGGTATCTTGTGGGGTGTCTCTATTGCCTTTTGCAGCAAGATTTCATCAAATAAAGCATCCACCTTGGTTAGATCAAAGGAATAAACCTTGTTCTGTGTTGGTTTGCTCGGAACAAACCCTCCTGTGAAAGGTGGTGGCTTCTGATCCTTTGGTGGCTTAGTAAGGGCCTTGCAGCTAATGAGATGTTTCAACTTTGCCATTTCTGCGACTGCAACTTCTCCTTCCTCTGAGCATTCTACTTCCCTTTCTGATTCTACCTGAACCAAATGTATTGAAGAGGAAGGTGACTTGTAATACGTGCTTTTGGATGAGTTACTCTTCTGCTGTTCTTCCCTAAGCAGTTCCTCATACTTGGATGTTTTATCCGCCAGTTCTGCCAGGTCTCCAAACAGCATCCCATCAAATCTGTCTTAGGCAGAACTGCCTTTTACAAAACTATAAACATAAATGTCCAAGCTAGAAAGAAGAAAGGACAGTTGGAACTCCATTTCTGCCTGTATAGAGGGTTCGGATCCAGGCTGGTCTGGAAATATCTGGGCTGGACTGGACTGTTAACAACTTCTGCTGCTAAGCTTCAGCAGTAGATCGATACCAAAGGTTAATTTTGGCAGAGCTTTAATACACTTCAAGCTTTTGTGAGGCTTCTAAGTGGGCAGAACTGCGGCTTTTTTAGGCAGAAGTGGCTATTCTTGAGGATTTCAGTGGGCTAGAGACTGCGCTGTAAAATTTGTTGAGGTTTTCATGTTTGGGAAAAGCTCAAGCTCCACCTGTCTTGGTTTTTGCTAAACCAAATTTGTAATGAGAGAAATATCGTTTTGAATGACTTATTTTCTAAGTCTGAGCCTTAGGAATTCTGATCTAAAGCTGGTTTTCACTTGGAATTCAAGTGAGCTTCT